GAAGTTTACGAGAAGCTCGGAGGGGGGCACAATGACCCCAAGCAACCAGAGAGATATCCCATAGCTCATGACATCGTGCTCAGCAGTAAAAGCTGGGGAAGGAAGAAGGAAGGACATCTGTAGTTAAGTGCTCCCAAGTAGCCAGTCTGTGTGGTGGAATCCTGCTTTTCTGGAGAAATGCCTGAAGGCCTGCCTGCCTGCCCATGGGAAGTAGTGAATGAACTCCTTATTTCGCCTTGCTTGTGCACATGACTTCTGCTTTCCATATAACCTTCATCTCAACCCAGGAGTGTCCTCACTTCTTATTCTCTGACCCACTCTACTGCAGGGGAGTGAGCCAGTGGATGCCTAGGGCTGAGCTGCCGCCCGGCATTAACCCACAACTATGATTTATGTTGTTCTCGAAACACGACATTGTGCATGTTACCAGCTGGAGCTTAGTACTGCAAATGATTTATATCAGTTATGCACCTGGACTACATGAAATCTTGGCACATGTACCAAGTGTGCGTTTGTAGAAGAGCATATGCTTGCAGACTAACAACCTCTTTGCGAAGCATGGAAATAAGAACATGGTAAGTAAGCTGGAAAGGAATGACAAAATTCACTTTGTTGCGGATAAGGAACCATGCATAGTAGTGGACAAAGCTGGTCTTGCTAGAAGCAAGAAGGGGAGGGTAGATGGTAACTGAGAGGATGGTGATAGAGGGTAACAAGGAACCTTGAAAGAACAGAAAGCAGAAGGTGGCCAGGGAGCAGAAGGTGGCACAGGTAACATGCAACATGGGTGGTTTAGAGTGAATATATGCTTTAAGGTAATTGGGATCATGTAATTTAAAGGAGAAAAGTCTCAGATTCTTCCCTCCCTAGTTTCTAACCGAAAATGTAGATCGTGAACATCATGCTGCTTCATCTTGACTGCAGTCCTCTAACAATGATTCTCCTGTGTTTGGGTCATGTAGTAGCTTTTTCATTGACAACGAAGGGGGTTTTAGTTGTTTGTTTGGTTTGGTTGGGGGCCTGTTGGTTTGGTTTTGTTGTTGGTTTTCCTGAAGAATTACAAACGCAGAGTAAATCCAAAGCAGATGACCAGCACAAGGAGTGCAAATGGACTTGCTCTCAGGCACCACCAGCAGTATCAGCGCCACACTGTGCTGCTGCTGCGGTGATGCTTAAAGGTCTGTTCAGGTGAAAAGCCACAGATGTTAAAAGTTTTATTTGTGGCTGAGAAATCTGGATCCACTTTCTGTTTTCTTCTGAACCCAACTGTGCTATTCATAAAGGACTTTTTTTTTTTTTTTTTGATCAGAACTTTTGTAGTATTTATTACACTTTGCTGAATAAAATATACTGGTTTGATGCCAATATAATTAAAGTGGCACAGCCTCCAGGGGGTATGCAGTTCAAGCACAGAAACCAGTATGCTCATGAAGCAGACACCACTCTGAAGGCATATAACTGGACTTTTATGGCATCTTATGGCACATTTCCTTTCTTCCATCATTAGCAGAGAGGGGAAATTAAAACTCACCTTATAGAAACTGTGCTTTCTGCAGCAGTTGGTCTGTGTTCAGGGCCATGCCTCCCCATGCCACTCCTGAAGTCTGACAGCGTCCACAGGGGTGCACCCAGCCTTTGCATGTCATACGTGTTCCAGACAAAAGTTACATCACTCCTGGCAAGACTTTTCTGCAGTGTATTAGAGCTTGAAACATCTCCTAAGGCTCAGGTCTTCTCTCCATTAGGAAGGTTTTGGTAGCTGTTTCAATTACATCAATAAAGACAAATATTAAAGTGTTTAAGGTGAAGAATAATAACTTTATGGCAAGTCCTTTACGATGGGATGGCAGGAGAATAAGGCCAATGACACAATCCTGTGTGCCTCATTCCTAAAATCCATTACAAGCTAAAAACCAGAAAACCCTATGGTGAATGTATTTATGTGTCTTTTGGCCACCAAGCCTGAGGACAGGAAACTCCTTCTCAGCATCCAATCAAACGTGGAGGCTGCCTACCAGTTTTGTTCCAGATGCAGGTGGCATGCTTCCACCCCTCTGTCTCTGCCTGTGTTGCTGGAGGGCGATATGTTGCCCTGTCCCCAGTCACACCCTAGCACGGTTCCCACATACCAGGTTAAGTCAGGTTGTATGAGTAGCTGTTTTTAGCAACCATAATGTCAGTGACCACAAATGTGAGATTTTTGGCCCAGGGTTTCTTGCCTTCCCCTCCTTCAGCAGCTGAGCGCGTGGTTTGTTATTCCTCACACCACAAACCCCTCCAAACCATGGCAATCTCAAGGCAGCAGTGTGGCTGCGCAGGCTGAAGCATCGTTGTCTCATGGAACAGCTGTGTGGAGTGAGGGACAGTGCCTGTCGAGCTCAAAAGCCACTGAGCAATGGGACAGGGACTTCCTGGAGTGTGCTGGTGAGGGGACACTTTCCCCCAGTGCAAGTTGTGCCTGTGCCTCCCTGCAGTAGCAGAGAAAGAATACCTGTGAGAACACTGAGAAGAGCAGAGAAACAAGCTAAAAGGTGACTAGGCACACCATAACCAATGCCTGACTCCAATCATGCAAAACATGTGTGGGTTTTTTTATTCCTTTTTCTTTATTTGGACAATATATATACACATATGTACAAAAACATCTATGCCTACTTTTTTTTTTCCTTTTCTTATTTTTTACAATTTCATGTGATTTACAAAACAGGACAGCAAAATAACTTATAAAGGTTACGAATACTGTACAAAAATAAAACTGATTAAACTGTTGGAAGTTGGTATTTTACAGTGTTACAGATCGCCAGTCTGTAAAACAGCATTTTGAAGTTGTATGTTCAGTCTGGTGTATGCTGGGCTAAGTCCCTCTGCAAACTGAAGAGACCTGTAATACAGGTCATGGAAAACTGTCGAAGAAAGAAGTTATGTTGTATAGCTGTACCTTTAAAGACATGGTCTCTCTACAGTGATGGGCTTTCTTAATCAAAGAGAGAAGCTGTTCTAACTTCAGCACTAACAAGCACTTCAAAGCAGTACAAGCACATACAGTATTAGAGAACCTCATTTTCCTTTTCTGACACTTGCAATGCTCTTCAAAACTTCATCTTCAGGATGCAAAGAACTAGCCCGCAGTTTGTTTTATGTGTTAGAGCCATTGTCTGCTTTTATTAAAACAAAAACCCCAGAGCCCCCAAATGAAGACAACAATAAAGCGAAATCTCCAAACCTGATTATCCCCATGTATTATTCTGTTAGTGGTTGATGAATTGCATTAATCCCGTCTGTCCAACGCTGAAATACAGCTAACGTTACGTTACAGCAAATGGGTTACCGTTTAGCAAGGCTTTTTTCAGAAACAGGATCTTGTCACACACTATGAACCTCCCTTCCCCCCCCCCTCGCCTGTTCAGTCCTTCAGACTTTGTAGGACCAACCACGTGTCTTTAAATGTGCATTCTACCCCAAATACACAAGGTGGAAACCATAGATCTGGCCAATTACTTCTATGTATCCGTTAATCCTGGTAGCTAAGTGACCAACACATGTATGTACTGATTTCGGAGCTGCTTATCAGCTGTGGCTTCCCATTGTGGGTGATAAGATGTGAGGGTGTCTTGTATTTCACAGGATCAGGCCTGAAATTTTCCAAGTGCTGCATCCATCCCACAAAATGGCAGCAATCCAGACTGCAGGACAGACTCAGAATGAATCTCACTGGGCTACACGTGGCCCTGACCCCACTCAACAAGGCAGCATTAACAGTGCTGGTAAGCAAAACACTTCCTGTATTTCTCAATCAGCAGAAATACAAAGGCTACCTGTTTTTATCAGGAAGAATGGATGTCCTTCTGACTCGATTTGGACACCAGAAATTAAAGTTTGGTTTCTAAAATAAAATGTTTCAAAAAGCTGAAACGGAGGTAGAAAGTGTGCTTGGTTTCCTGAAGTTTTCACTGAAGAAAACGCATCCCTTTTTACTCCACACACTGTTCAATATCCCCAATGCCTTAAAAGCAGTTCTCTTCACATAGACGGAATTTATCATGAATTACACAGATTAAAAACACTATATGCAAACTGGTTTCTAATGCCGAAAGCCTTATACAACAGTAGAAGAAAACACTCTACTCTCCGAGTTCATTTTTTTATGTTTGTTTCTAAGGAGCAAGCTTTTTATCAGGTAAAACAGTAGGATGCTGTAGTTGCAGGTGTACTAGCAAGATTGTTTATGTACAGAATTTTACAAGATGACCTAAATTCATCTGCAATGGAAATGTGATTACTCACCAGATGAATTTGGCCCCAAGTCTCTATAGTAGGGCTGCACCTCCCCTTCCTCTTTGGTAAAAACCAAACAGGAAAAGAATGTTTCTGGAAAAAATGTGTAAACAGAAGTCTCCTCCCCCTTTTATGCAGCTGGGGAGGGAAAATGAGAAAACCACTGATAACCTCTTACAGTTCATGCTTTCAACGTAAAAAAAATAATGCAATAATCAGCTAAATGACCACAGCTGAAAATCCTCCTTCAGTGACCTTTCTGCTCCCCTTAAAGAGCATCAGATAGCCTTAAAATAAAAGTAATACTGCCATTATCAGTGTCCGATGTATGACACTGCTACCAAGAGAAGCCTACGTCGTAAGGAGTGTTACGACACACCTTGCGTGCTGTATTTCCAGTCAGCTAATGGTTTTCACCCACACTCTATAGAAACAGCTATCAAGATATCCAGGAGCCCTCCAGAAGTGCTCCTTAGAACAATTCCATGAGTTTCCATTAGCAGAGTGCTTTTAGGGAAAGGTCTATTCTCTCCATAAACACACACACAACTCCCATAGGACTCCATGGGAGTTAGGCAAGGGTATGAAGAGAGTAAATCTTTAAGGCAAGCGTAGGAAGAGAAAAAGCCTTCAAAAAAAGCGCAGCAGTTTATAAAGATGGTAACTGCTGTCATACATCCATTCAAACAAAACACAGCAGAATAAAGCACTGTTAGTGGCATGTCTATAGTACAGTACTGTATTTATTGACAAATCAGAAGTATAGGATCAAAGGAGAGACATGTGCTTCTGCTCCCATACCCCTGCCACATATCTAGGCTGACTTGTCTTCTTCCAGATAAATGAGTAGCAGAACTAAATACACATATGGTCAGAAAACGACTGAACTGTTGTGGGGGGGAGGGTTCTGCTTTAAGTATCTTCTTGAATTATACATGTCTTTACTGGAAAAGTGCAGCTTATATTCAAAAGTATAGTTAATACAAAGAAAAATTAAAAAGACCCATTTACTTTAATGGGCCTTCTTGAGTATAAATTCATCTTATCATCTCAGATGCTATTAGTAACATATGTAATGTTTTTTCTTAACAGTCTCTTAAAATGCAGGATCATTCTGAGACAGAAGTAAACCCACTTCTACAATGTGCTATGGAGCTTTTATCTGAGTTATTTATGTGACTCGGAAAGTGTTTTTACTCAACAAACTCTAAATACAAGCAGCATTACACTGTTCAACAAAACATGTTCATGACACAGCAATCACAAAGACTTTGAGGTCACGCTACTGCAGGGGCACAGGCCAGACCATCCAGTCAGACATATATACACCAGCATCAACGTTTACATTGAGGAGATGGTCACCTCCTCCGCTGGCCATCCCTTCCCTCCTCTCACCCTGCAGTCCACTTGCTCCAGATCGCTGTTCCCAGCGCAGGGTGGGGAGGTGGAGGATGGGGCGAGGGGCACGGAGTACTTTTTGAATGTCAGCAACATATGCTTTCAGGTGGCAAGGGCGACCGGCGCCGCAGCGGATGCTCATACTCTGATGCCACTGCCTGCGTCCTCCCCTCTGCTCCCACCCCGGACCGCCCTGCCTTCACAAGGAGCTACTGGAGCTGGACTTTTTGGATCGCTTGATCATGCTGGGGTGGAACTCGGTGTGGCGGCGGGCGTGCTTTGTCAGGTGGTCGCTCCGCATGAACCGCTTCTCGCAAAGGGGGCATCGAAACTGCTTCTCACCGGTGTGGGTTCGGTAGTGCCGGGTGAGCTCGTCCGAGCGAGAGAACTTCTTAAGGCAGTCAGGCCACGTGCAGGGGAATGGTCGCTCGCCTGCAGGGAGGAAAGGATGACAAGAGATTTAGGGGACAGCGGTAATGCAGGCCAGCACATACCAGCTTCACCGAGGAGCCAGGGAACACGCTGAGGAGGGGAAAACGACACTTGTTTCTTGCCACGGTGCCAGCGTCTGTGGAGTTGCTGATGACTCGCTTCATCAGGTTTCAGTCTCACCTCCATCAGAAGCCAAAAACCCCTCTAACAGCATGGAACTCACATTCTGGTGCAGAACCTTACGTGACCCTGAAGACTGTCAAAACAACAGATGAGCTCTGCCTGAGCCTGTGCGTTTTTCACGTCAGGCTCCCTCTAACACTCCCATTCTGCTGAATAATTTGTACAGTTAGAAAGGAAGCCAAAAAAAACTCTCACCTGAGACAAGCCATTCCAGCATCGGGAGAACTGAGTGGGGAGGGACTGGGGAGAGCAGTGCAGCCTTGGGGCTGCAGACACATACAGCAGAGCTGCTGTGGCTGCAGGGAGAATTCCGATGTCCCCTATACTCCCTTCTCCCAGAAACCCAAGCTGCTCCACAGGGTATCAGTCTCTTAGGTGGCTGATTTGAGGACAGGAAAACTACTTCATCATTCACAGCTTTATCAGCATAAATGTTTGCTACAATGGTGAAGTACCAAACTGAATGCCTAACCACGCCACCCCTCTGCTTTCAAAAACAAGGGTCTCAGTACTGAACAGCACTCGCTGTAATCTTCCTGGCACCCCACATCCTCGCAGTTCACTTCTGCGGGTTGCACAGCCTTTGCCTACTGCACAAACCCATTGCCTCCCAACGAGCAAGGGTGACCTTAGTTGATGGCACAGATGGAAATCAAAGATGTTTTAAGTTCACACAAAAGCTTTCAGTCACAGACATCATGCACCACTGCAGTTTGATGACTTAATTCCCTTTCTTAAGAGTCTCCTGAAGGGAATATAAATGACAGCTAGTGACAGCTATTTTTAGCCAACCATGAAACATAAAAACTATCCCAGGAGTTTTTTAGCTTGGAAGAGTTAGAAAGAAACACAGGGACTCCAATATTTCTTGGTACTCTGAAGTTTGGCACAACAGGCAAGCTCGCTTTACATTTACAGATCACAATAAAGAGAATAATTTACAAGAAAGCATGCCTTGTAGTCCTCGTTCTCCCCGGACACAATAGCAGCCACAAAAGGCTAAAGGCTTGAATGAACAGCCCAAGCGCCAGGACAATCAGCAGCAGAAAGTACTGCAGAGCTGTAGGGAGAAGGAAGGGGGCTGGGGAGAGTGACTGACAGCATTCAGGAGGATGACTGACAGCATCCAGCGAGGAGGATAAGAACAGACAAGGTAAGTTGAGGTGTAGCTACACCAGGGGTATACACAGTGATGCAGCCATGTTCACAGTTCAGGCTCCCAGTGTGTGGTGCTCCCTGACAGGCAGCTGCCCCATCCCAGGCCGACCAGGGTGCAGCTGGGCAAGCAGAATCACATACCTCCTGGCTGCCCCTCGGGCACCCTGTCAATCTGCTTCCCCTGAACCTGCTTCCCTGGAGGGGGAGCATTGCTGGTCCCTGGTCCGGTGCAGAGGGAGCACAGGGAGCCAAGCCAGCCTGGTACCCGAGCCCGAAGGAGGCACAGCTGCCAGACGTCCTGACCTGGGGCTATGTTTTGTATGAACAGGTTTCTTGTCTCCCTGCTGCATACTGCTGACATGGATGGGAGCCTTTCCGGACACCCGCCGCCTGATGAAAGGAATTAATTAATGCAGTACACAGGCTCACATGTGCATGAAGGCCACGGCCGCAGCCAGGCGGCCCAGCAGCAGCAGCAGGAGCTGTACAGAGCACTTCCACCACCATCCTTCCCTGGCTTTCCCAGCCCTGCCCAGGATCCAAGGCGAGTGTTTCACTTGTGCTGCTCTTTTGCTATCTATCTCGCGGTTTCTGTCACAGCTCCTGGAAGCAGGCAGCAGTGGGAGGCCTGGAACAGCTTTCCAGCTCCCCCCAGGAACGTGGGAGAAGTGCTATACATCTTGTATGTGTGGAGCCATCTAGTACAGCTCTGTGTCAGGCACTCACACCCCAGAGCAGTAGGAGCAGAGCAGGCATCTTGCACCATCCCTAGAAGCCGTATTTCCAACCATCTACCTCAGGACAGCTCTTAGCCTGTGGAAGTGCCTAACTGTGCTACATGGAGACCTGGTGCTCAGGCTAGATAGCAAGGATCATAGTCTTTGGGATGCATCATCTACATTTTAGGTACGGCAGGAACTAACCTGGTGTCTATAAACAGTGTTTCAACACTAGCCCCATGCAGCCCTTGCGAACTGAGCTTCCCAACCCCGCTCCTGGAGCTGCAGGTGGAAAGACAAAACGGAGGCTGGTTACTAGAATTCCCTCTGAAATGTGAAGCACGACCTCCACCACCACAACCCTGCACACCCATTTCGTGTTCCAGAGAGAAGCACTTTCAGGTTACACAGAGTGAACACAAAGCCTTAGGGAAAGACAGGGCTCACTCGGGATCCCCCGTGTGCACCTGGCACCGCACTCCCCAGGGAACCGGCCTGAGCTCGGCAGGGGGAGCACGAGGAGGCCACGGTGCGCTTCGCACTGTGGGGACAGGCTCCGCTGAGGCGGGAGAGCAGCAAACAGCAGAGATCCCTGCCCAGGCGAGCGGCTGTGCTCCCTCACATACAAGAGCTGCCACCAGGACCCATGCCGAGCCCCGAGGTAGGGTTGTGGTGAGCGGCTTCACCACCTCAGCAATACAAGCCCAGGGAGGCTGTCACAGCCACTTTGGAAGCGCACGTATGAAAGTAGGCCAGGCATAATCCCCAGCACCAGGATGCACTAAACTCCAGACTTCTCAGAGCAGAGACACAAAGGGGAGGGAGGCTTTTCCAGGCCCGCAGGGATTGTCTCTGAGCCTCAAGATCTGCTGCTTCCCTGGGTCAGAATGCTGTGACATCAGGCTGGAGGGATGGTGCTTCGGTGATGGACTTTGTAGGTGCCTGTAGGCAAGGTAAAGGTGCCTGATGACAGGTGATGACTGTCCACTCAGCAAAGCTCATCGCTGCATTTGGCACACTGTTTTTAAACAGCAGAGATGTTCGAGGAAAAGTCCAGTGAGGAAACACATCCTGCAGCTCTATGCAGCAGGGCAGACAATGGCCTGCAGAGCTACAATGCAAAGCTGTGATGCAATGCTGCCTCCATCTGGAGATTCTGTGTCATGTCTCAAACAAGAAATACCTGTTCCGCATGTTTTTTTTCCCTTTAGTTCCGGGAGTCGTAATGCTTGAGCTTGAAAAAAGAATGAACATCAAACCGGGGTGCTGTTATATACTATTTCCTGGCAGCAGTATGCTACTTACATTTTAAGATAGGCCTTAGATGGGATTCCCATCAAGAGATGAAGGAATGGCCAATGGTGTTATCACCATACCTTACAACTATTTGTGATAGGATATTAACACGAGAGATACAAGATGTAAATTACTTTATTTAAAAAAAACAACCAACAAACAACACGTATATCCAGGGCAGCTTACAGAAATAACAAGTGAAACAGACATTGATTTACAGCTCATAGGAATAGGTACATCTGCAGAATTCCCATTGTTTGTCCTGTGTGTCCCAGGAATGTACTGGGAGACATAGTTCGTGATGCGCACAAGCTGGTGGTGGCTCTTCACAGGTCTTCTCTGGAGTCTAAAGAACTACTCTCTGCAGCCTTGGCTTGCTTTAAATGCCATATGAATATAAAGGCTAATGCAGATCCTTTCAACCTTTGCTTTCTTGCTTCACCTGAGCTGTTCCTTTTTCCCACCCTCCACTGGGTACTACTACTGATTAGTTTCTTCTTTCTCTGTGAGTTCAAACTCTGTATCCAAGTTATAGTGTATGACCTGAAGCAGGTACACTGTATTTTACTCATTTTTATTCTGGATAGACGATAAATTATTTAGGGTTTTTTTACCTATTCTGGGACATTACAGATTTTCCCACATTGTAGTCTTGTATAGGAAGGGTTTCTGAAAAAGAACACAGAATGGGCATTACCTGACTCATTGACAGCTCAGGTACTACTCGTATCCTGAGTAATCATCTGCCTTCTCACAACAAAATGCTCCTTTAGATGTGGATGACTGAGGTCAGAAGCTGCAGTTCATGGTGGCTTTAACAAAGATGAATTAATTTGGACAAACAAGGGGTAGAGAAGTCCCGAGTGACTGTTTTTCTTGGGAAGGGGGAGGCTGTGTTTGAAAAAGCTGAAGACAAAGTTGCTGATCAGATGCTTGGTTAATTGTGTTGGTATATGTAGTACATGCACTAGGACTGAGCACACTGAGCCTCTGTGGTGGAACAAAGTACTGATTTTATGTGAATTACTAAAATCGCTTGACCACTGGCTTTACAGAAGACTTTCTGCCCACACCATGCTGCTGGTGTGGACTGAAGTCTGGTAAAGATGAATTGTTTGCTATGCTCACACTGTCTTCCTCAGTGACAGAAGTGAACACAACCATGAGTTCAGAGCCTGGCATCAGTACCAGCTAGCACAGAATAGTTGTCAAATAATGCTAATGACACTGCTTCACACATTAACAAGAAAGCCAGATGGAGTGTAGCTACAGCTGTATGAATGGATACCTAACAAGACACCTTGACTGACTCAGGTTATTAGAGATGGGATGATGGTAGGTACATGGTAGGACCATGTTGCCAGGTATTCATAGCAGCAACTCTTTCAATTATCAGAACTGAAGAAGGGTTCAGAGTGTTCACGATGCAGTGTTTGTGATGCATGGTTCCTACTGTCCACCCAGCTGCTGACTGGACACAGCTAACCAGTACCTCCTGCTACAGGAACACCCCGCCTGCCCTGAGGCACAGACCCACCAACTGCAGCCAGAGGCGGCAGACGGAAAACAGGAAAAAGGGGAAGCACAAGAGTACGGGAACCCAAACAGTGAAGTCTCTTGCCACCAGGGGAGAGCAAAACTACTTGGCAAAACAGAACTCGCATAATCAGCTTTGCATGGTTCAAATGAGAGAATCTGATCCCCACCATCATCTTCCAAGATCCTCCTGCACCTCTGTGGCTGCTGGAGCTCAAAATTTCCAAAGGAATCCTGATACCCTACGCATATTCGTATTTTCTTTTCTCCCCCCCCCCCCCCCCGTGATCCCACTAAGCCACCACTCCTGTGTGTCACAGTGTCTCCCAAAATACATTCTGTAGGTGAATGTCAAGAACACAGTCCAACTTATTGCAAGAGATAAAAAAAAAAACCCCAAACAGTCAGGCTATCTTCTCTGCTGCAGAGCAGCTACTGTCTCAGGTGTCTCTCCTTTTTTCTCCACCAGTGTGCTGCTTGGCCCACACACCCTCGATGAGCAATTTCCTGTGGGACACTGTATTATGACTGAGTGATATTCCGTTGAAGATGGATCTTGGGCATCCATGCACCCACTTCAGAGCGCAGGCCTTTTGAACAGCCCTTTTCTTTTTCTTCTGAGATATTCCAAAATCAGGTCACTAAAGCATGTGGCAGCCACACGATTCACTGGTGCGAAACAACACAGAGCGAGATCAGTGGTGAGGATGAGATACTGTGTGCCTAAAACAAGGGTTTCTGTAACATCTAAACCGCAGCCACTCAGTCTGGCAATACATCAAACAGTCACTGCCTTCAAGACAGACAACGCATGGATGGGTTGCAGCAAGTGGTTTATTCTGCCAGCAGTCAGGACTACACAAGACTATTCAGGTGTTAAAACTGAGCAGTTCTATATTTTTTATATATTTTATATACCTCTCCTTCCAGCAAGTATTTAGACTGCCCTGACATCCTCAAAACCACCACTCAACAGCTGCTTGCACATGCAGGTGTTTTGAGTCTTTTTCAAAAGACCAGATGCAAACCCACCTGCTAGAAGTCACAGCTGCTGAGCCGCTGGGAGCCCAAATCCCAGTGAGACTCAATTTTGCTGTTATCCCCATGTGATATCCTTAAGGGATATCCTTACAGCTTTTCTGCCAGATAACAGCCCGCACTGGCTTACAAAAGTCTTTCTTGAGGGACTGTGCCTCCTCATATATATGTATATAGATACATTTATACATATATATAGAATCATAGAATAGTCAGGGTTGGAAAGGACCTTAAGATCATCTACTTCCAGCCCCCCTGCCATGGGCAGGGACACCTCACACTAAACCATGCCACCCAAGGCTCTGTCCAACCTGGCCCTGAACATTGCCAGGGATGGAGCATTCACAACTTCCTCAGGCAACCCATTCCAGTGCCTCACTACCCTTACAGTAAAGAACTTTCTCCTTATATCCAATCTAAACTTCCCCTGTTTAAGTTTTAACCCATTACCTCTTGTCCTGTCACTATAGTCCCTAAAGAAGAATCCCTCCCCAGCATCCCTATAGGCCCCCTTCAGATACTGGAAGGCTGCTATGAGGTCTCCACGCAACCTTCTCTTCTCCAGGCTGAACAGCCCCAACTTTCTCAGCCTATCTTCATACGGGAGGTGCCCCAGTTGCCTGATCATTCTTGTGGCCTCCTCTGGACTTGTTCCAACAGTCCCATGTCCTTTTTATGTTCAGGACACGAGAACTGCACACAATACTCCAGGTGAGGTCTCACAAGAGCAAAGCAGAGGGGCAGGATCACATCCTTTGGCCTGCTGGTCACACTCCTTTGGATGCAGTCCAGGATATGGTTGGCTTTCTGGGCTGTGAGGGCACACTGAAGCCGGCTCATGTTCATTTTCTCATCGACCAGAACCCCCAAGTCTCTTCTCTGCCCAGCCTGTAGCTGTGCCTGGGATTGCTCTGACCCAGGTGTAGGACCTTTCACTTGACATGGTTAAACTTCATGAGGTTGGCATCAGCCCACCTCACAAGCGTGTCAAGGTCCCTCTGGATGGCATTCCTTCTCACCAGCATATCAACCAAACCACACAGCTTGGTGTCATCAGCAAACTTGCTGAGGGCAAGTATATAGATATATCTCAGTTAGGGAAGCTATATGGGAGAGACCTCTCCAAACCTCACCGGAGAGTCAACTCTACCTTTTCATAGTTGAGGAGTGCCCTCTTGGTGTATGGGACAAGTTCTAACCTCTTCTTTCCCATCTTACCTCCATTTGAACAGCCTCTGTCTTGCAGTAGTGCTGAAATATTAACTGAAGAATGAAGACCAGCTCCTAGCCTTGTGCTGAGGGCACCTACCCAGGATTGAAGAGCACTGGCTTTCAGGTTCTGCTCTGTCTGAATGCTTAAATGCCTGCTAACTGGAAACATCTTTGACAGGGGAAGGAGGAATGCAATTTTACATGTGCTCACAAGGATCGTATAATTTCTGTTATTTCACTATGAATTTGTTAGCTAGTGTTTCAACAGACTCTTACCTCAGGTTCAACGTATTTGTAGAGTTCTCTCAGGATATTCACAGGCATTATGACTTGGATACAGACAATGAATTATGTTACCACAAAACAGTATCTGAAGTGTGCTTTACCATAACTACCCAAGATTGGCCATTTAATCTTCACTTAGCCCTTCCTTGCTCTTTCACTGCAGGTCTGGGAGCTCTGTGAGGCTATGAGCAGCAGCCTGGTGCACAACAGCCAGTGAAGGGCAATGAGTGTTCCTGCAGGGATCCTAACAGCTGGTTTGCAAGATACACATGCTAACAAGAGTGGGTGACACCCCCCCCACAGTCTTCAGTATCACAGCACAACAGTGTGCAGGAACTCAGTAATGCTGCATTTTCAAGACATCCGTCTAGAAACAGAAGTCACACTCGTATAAGTGATGCCTGCTCACTGCTTCCATTCTACACGTGCACTTCCTTCCCTGACTCAATTAATACACAAACCTTTCTGGAGTGCTTTCCCACTGTGACACATACACCGACTTAAAGCTTTTTTTTTTTTTTTTTTAGCAGGAAAAAAATCCCAAAACACACACAAAAAAAAAAAAAAAAAAAAGAAAAATCCATGCCTCCAAACTCCCCCTCCTCCCAAACCAAACCAAAGCCATCCGGGAGTCAGGCAACACTGAACTTAATCTTAAGGATTTTTGCCTACCTTACTCAGCTGGCAAGGTTTCCAGTCAGTATGAGTGTGTTTCTTCAAGACCTGGAAACATGCCGATTAGAACTCCAGCAATCTGCACATTTGCATTAACCCTCAAGAATGGGCGTTTCAGATGGAGGCCTGAATTGAGCAAAAAATGTCTTGCTGACTCCACTTTCTGCTCTTCAGTCTTATTCTAAAGGATCTGGCAAAGTGACATTGCATAAGATGGATAAGAGGGGCTTAAAGTACTAAATTTCAGATTACGCTCCCACAAAATACCCAAAAAAAGCTCCCAGCAAGCAGAGGATTGCCAACATAGTAGCATCTGTACAGTCTGCCCAGTTAGTGATAGTCCAGAACACAAATAACAAAGGAGCACAGTGAAAACTGAACTGATACAGGGGCTGGGTCGAAGCCATGATATCTAGACTGCAGTGTTAACTTTCCCTTTGTACCAGAAATGCTCCTCATCTTCACTGTGCAGACTGCTGAACTTTGGGTCCACACCTCTGCCTACTGCCCTGCTATCACACATCACTAAGAGCCAGATGCCCAGAAGCGCTCAAGGGTGCATCAGCTGCCCAATGAAACAATGCTCTTGGTATTGTTTGGTCCTGATCTGCACAATGATGCAGTTGGTTGAAGAGTGCAAACTTTTCACATACTTTGTTTTTCTGTGCCTAACCTCTTACTTAAGGGTATCTGATGCAGATGTGAACTTTCCATCAATCTGATGCACCACATACTGAGAAGCATCTGGGACTTACCTCCCCAGGCAAGTGAACTCCTACAGATCCTGTATGAGGAGGCATCTGCTAAACTAGCTTTATGGCACCTTCTCTGTCCCTTTCTCTTGACCAGAGAGCAGGATCTGCTCTCAGCAGCTGTGTGCCCTTTAACTGGCTTGTATTCACACTATTCTAGCAACTGTACATTCCTTAAAGTTTGCTTCTCTTGCCAGTTTCTCTCACTCTCTTGCCCTTTGCTCCACACTTCTTGCCCAAGGCCTTCCAACTGAGATTGTTTACTCTCATATGCCTTTATTTTCCCTGGAAACCCTCTGGCCTGCCCATCCCTCCCTGTTAAGCTCTCCTCCCTCCCCATCTTTGAGGCTAATAGTAACCCTACACATTACTGGCCATAATGAAACCTCTAAACTACCTATTTAGAAAAGTCAGTGCATCTCCAAGGTAACTGCCCGCAAACCTGCTGCTGCTTGTCATTTTCTTGGTCAGCCAAGTCCCTCACTTCCTCCTGACAACTGCACAGCTTCCAGGGCCTGGGTTTTGTGCAGGTCTTGCCAATGTGTCTGGGCTGTTTTCTATGCTCTGAAGGGAAAGTCTGCAAGACTTGGTCACACCACCTCAGTGCTGAAGGCTCCCAAGCAGACAAACTGCTCACAGTCCCTCCTACCACCACCAAACTTCAGCAGAGTTCACGTGTCCTATACTCCCACAACATTATGCCATAAGGGACCAAGAAACCTAAGGCATGGTCACACTGTGGAGCTGTCCCTCTACCTGCCTTCCTGACATAGGGCTTTTGGCTTGCAAGCCACCCTTTCTCTCCTACACCAAGTGCCATGTGCCTCAGAGATGCTACTAGCTTACACAGAACAACCTTACCTGTAATGGTCTTTCTGCTCAAGACATCAGAACTTAAATAATAAAAACTCATCTCACTTTTGGATGGTACTGAAGGGACAGGGGAGGCAATAACTCAGTTTCAGGGATACACTTGTCCTTGTATCCTCAGGCCTTTGCAAGTTAATGTATTTTGAACATAAGTACACATACATGGCAGAACGAAGAAGTGTCTGATCGTATTGCAGAAACACCAGGGGCTTGGCAAGGAATGAAAGGAGCATCCCCCCGGGAAGGGGGAGCAGTCACACTTCTTGGCTTCCCCCTACAAATCCTGCTCTACTAAGTCAGGCTGAGTTCAGTGGGATTGTGCAAACAGTCCCCTTGCTTGTGCCATCAAGTGAGATGTGCAGTGCCACCCGCTGACCTTGTTCTGTTAAGATCAATGCAGAGACGATTTCTGATGGATTCCTAATTCTGGTCTTCTGGAAATTGAACTAGAGTCATCATCAAAGGCCCGAACTTCAGGCAAACATTTACACAGACATTTTTAGTCTCTGAAAGAAAGAATGCCTTTGAACCAGCAAGTTTATAGAATCATTATAAGACAAAGACCTCTAACCTCTCAGCACCCAGGTCTTTGGTCTTCTACTCTTCTAACTTTATTTGGTACTTCATTTCTTGCCTTTGCCTTAGCTTACCAAAGATGGTCTGCTGAGTGTTTAGATTCCCACAGCACAAGGCAGTATCTAGAGCTTTCCAACATGCTCACTTAGTAGCCTTGAGTACAGAGAACTGTGGCTATAAGTAAGCTCACAGGTGTGAAAGCAAATCCTAAAGCCATTTGCCAAGATAGGGAGACTGGAATTAAATATTAAAAATTTAAGACCTGGAAGATTGTAATGGTGGCTGTGTACCTATTTCCATTAAAGGCTGCACAGCAGCAAAAAACTTGCTTAGTGGCTTGATGAAAAATAGCAGGTAGGTGAATTCAATTCAAGAGCCTCAGATATACAAAAGAGAAATTGTTGGGGGGGGGGGGGGAAGGAAAGAAAGGAGGGAGCATGAATGCTCTGCAGTACACAGTTATGAATAACTCCAGAGGTCCATTGAATCTCACCGTTGCTAAGGAATTGTTCTGCCATCTATAAAAATAATTAGCAGTATCGTTTAACATTTCAGTTAGCTACAATTAACTGCTCACATTAGGAAGCTCTGAAGGTTCATTACTGCTGTATCTGTAGCAATTTGAGTCATACAGAACTACCGTGGTGGTATACCAGAGCATGTGAATCAAGTATCTAATACTTGGAGCTAAGGCAGCACACACTATACTCAACACTGCTTCAGGAGATACTTATTATAACGCTACTGCTTACAGTATGCAGTGTGGGTTGTACAGTACATTAATTTACATGTCATCACCCAGAACACTAACCCAATCAATGTCTATTTTGGTTCTCATGTTGGGGTGGATATCTGAACACGGGGTAGTAAGTGCAAGTGAAGCTAACGAATTTTCTTTGTCACTTATGAGCCAATATTTTGCTGGGCATCAGTTACATTCAGCCTCCAAAAGAGCATCAGAACCATGGTCTCTGAGCCAGCAACACACAATCCTTGGCACCGGTCCTGAGGTCAGTACACGGTCACCACTCACCATCCTCTTTCCCGGCTCACGGAGACAGCCTGAACTCCGCAGAGCTCACTGCTGAGCCACATCCAGTAATCCTCCTCCTCCTCCCCCTGATCTCCGGAGCTAAGCATCGGCAGATCTGCCAGCAGGGCTCAGGCAGGCAACCAGCACCGTGTCTCCACTGCAGCGCACATACACCTGGGCGCACAAGCAAGGCAGAGCAACGGAAGCATAGCTGGAGCTCAGATGCGCCCGTGCCCTACCCAGGCTGTGTGAAATAATACAGCAGTGCCTCGCAGCACGTTCCTCGGGTGATAAACTCGTCTTGTACTTCATCATTTACCATTACTGCCAAGCAGACAAAATACAGAAAGGAACTTCCGACTACAGGACAGATGTGAGGCACATGAAATAAGCACCGGCAGCATTTGTCTCCCTTAATCCGCTCCGTTCCATACTCACACACAACCCTCTAATTTAGTGCAATTTTTAAGCAGCTTCGTGTACCACACTGTGTCCCCGCCCCTCCCCCCTTGCAATTCGGACATGGAACGGGGTTTATTCAGCCGCTCCCACTAAAGGGATTAAAAAATCCTCAACAAACCAAAACAAACACAAACCCCCCGACACAAAACCCGCAAAATAAACGGAGGAACGGTGGGCCACTGTCCCCTCGGCGCTGCGCAGAGCAGGGGCACAGGGAACTGTGGCGGCAGAGGTGTTTTACCGGCAGGTTCCCACACCGCCACACCCTCTCGCCCCTCTGATCGGGCAATGAACCCCCGCGGGACGGGACACGCCACGGCTGGGTCGCGATAACCGGCATCGCGACGAGCCGCCGGGCGGAGCAGCGGCCGGCCCCCCCAGGGGGCCCGAACACTGGGGCGGCTCTCGGCGGTGGCCAGCGCCGGTTTGGGGGGGTGTGCGGCTCGAGTGCTCTCGGCCCGCTGGAGGGGGCGTGCCCGCGGCCGGCGGAGCCGCTGCTCGGCGGCCCGCAGCCCGCTCTGCGAACGCGGCCCCCGACGGCGCGGGCAGCAGATGGGGCAGGCCGCCCAGCCCGAGGCGGCTTTAAGGAACGCCTTCGGGCCAGGTTCTGCCTGTTCCCGCCGCCCAGGAGACGTCCCCCGCCGCCGCCCCCCGAACCGCCTCGGGTTCACTCCGGCGGCTGCCGCCCGTGCCGCGCTGCCCTGGGGACACGTACGGGCTTCGGGCAGGGGCCGGCAGGCGGGAAGCAGAGGAAGGCGCTGCCGCAGCCCCACCCGGGGCGGCCGCCCGCTCCCGGGGGAGCCGGTCTGGCCCCGCGGCGGGGAAGGACACGGAAGGGAGAAGAGGGGAAAACGGGGCCGGGGGTGGAAGGGAAAAAAGAGAAAAGGAGACAAAAAGGCAAAAAAAAACGGCCGAAAGCGGGGGCAGGGCGCGGGGGCGCCGAGCGCGCCGCCGGCAGGGTTCACGCGAGGACAAGCGCTCGTTCTCTGCTCGCTCCCCCTCCCCTCGCCCGCTCCCTCTCTCCCTCCCCTCGCCGCCGCCGCTGACCTGTGTGCACGCGGTAGTGCGCCTTGAGATGGGAGGACTTGCCATAGACCTTGCCGCAGCCACTGTAGGGGCACTTGTGTCGCTTCTCGGCCGCCAGCTTCCCCTTGGGGGCGGCCCCGGCGGCGCGCAGGCGGGGGGACGGCCCCGGCGGCGGGCTGCGGGGAGGGCTGGAGCCCGGCTCCGTGGCCGCGTCGCTGTCGGAACCGGCGTCCTCGTCGGGGCTCTCCACGCTGTCGCTGCAGACGGAGGGGGCGGGCAGCGGCCGGTACTTGTTCAGTTCCAGCAGGCTCTTGGCGATGGCTAGCAGAGCGCAGTAGTCCTTCCAGGCATCGCGGGGGTCGCGCAGCTCCCGGGCCGCCTCCCCCTCGCCCGGCATCTTCAGCCGCGCTGCCTCGGGCACGGCCGAGCGGTTAGAGATAGAGACCAGGCACTGCGCCGCCACGAAGTCCACGTAGGCGACGGCCGACATGGTGCGGCCGCGCCCCGACGACCGGGGTGGGTGGGTGGGTGTGTGTGTGAGGGGGGGGGGGGGGTGCAGCTTCGGGCTCTCCTCAGTGCGCGCCCGTCGGGCCGGCAGCGCCAGCCATGGCTCGCCTGCGGCGCGAGGTCTTTGAAGCGCAAGGGAGAACGGGGTTGATAAATAGCGGGGCGCCAGGCAGGGGTCTCAGCGCCAAGCACCAGGCACGGCGCGCAGCCGACAGGGAGGAGCGGCCGGCCCGGGTCCGGTGCGGCGGCCGGGATAGAGAAAAACGCCCGCCGCCCCGCCGCCCGCCCCGCGGCCCGCGCGCTCCTGCTCGGGGACGGCCGCGCCGAGTCCCATCACGTCAGGTTGGGAGCCCCCTCCCGCCCCGTGCCGTGCCGTCCCGCCCCCCCGATTGGTCAGCGGGCAGGGCCGGCCGGCTCTGTTTACCTTCTCCCCCCGCCACTCGCGGCGCCCCTTTTCTAGCAGGGGGTGTGTCCGCCGGGCGACAGCCCCACCAATCACTGCGCTCCCTCCTCAGGCCGCGTGCTACTCTGGGCGCCCCGCCGCGCCCGCTTAAAAGGGCCACGTCGCGGCTCCGCTGGGCGGCGGTGGGAAGCAAAAGGACGAAAACGCCGAGGCTCCCTCCCTCCCCGCCGGCCAAGGCCGCTGCCCAGCCGAGCCGAAGGCGGCGCCGGGCCGCGGGCCGCGGGGGGGTTGCAGGGTGCAGCCAGGCGAGGCGAGGCCGCCCGGCGCCGAGCGGGTTAAGTGTCTCCCTGGAAGCCCTACGGTCCCAGCAACGGGCCCGCCAATGGGAAGTGAGCCGGCTGATGTCACTGGCGAGGCCCCGGCCAATCAGCGCCACGTTCCGAGCAGTGCGCAGCACTTGTAAACCCGGCGGGCGCCCGCGCACCGCCCGACCCCGCCCACCCGGCCTGGGCAAGGCGCCGCTGAGCGGGGCTGCGGTGGCCGAGGTTCGGAGCGGAACCAGCGCCGCGCCCCGCGGGAACCAGCTCTCGTTCCGGCCAAGCGACGGGGCTCCCCGGCCCTGTGCGGGGAGCCGGATCCCGGCGCGATGCCGTTATACATGTCACAACCTCACCCGCGAGACGCGGTTCCCTTAGCTGCAGCGGCAGGGTAGGGATTGCTCCCCGGGGTGCTGCTGCTGATGGCTGGGCACACACGTCTTCCGTCCCGAGCTTACCCCGTGACACCCACCAGGGAGAGAAGTCCCAGGGCCCGGCAGAGCGGCCGTGCCCGAGCAAACACGGCTGCGGAAGGGCGGCTCCCGCTCGGCATCAGCTCCAGCGGTCGCGGAGCACTTGCCGTCCCTACCCAGCAGCCTGCCCCGTTCCAGCCGGAGCGCAGGGCTCGGGGCGCGACAGCGGAGAAACGGCACCCTGGGAAAGCGCTGCTTAAAACCGGGGAGAGACGTGTCCAGCATCACAGGGGAACCAGCAGCAGCACATGTGAAGTGTCCACCTGCGCGGTCTGTCAGGAGCGAGTGTGGCGAGGAAGGACCCTGCCTCCGAGACGCTGCACATAGGCCACTGTGCCCTGTCGGCCGGGGTAAAGACCTCTGCAGGCGCTGTACAGCTGCCGGACCGGGGGGTTCTACCCTTCTGCTGCAAGCTGCGGCCCGACGACACCGGGCCACAGCAGCCTAGGGTCCCAAACTGAGCCCCACTGTCCTCTGCTGCAGCCCGGCCCTCCTCGCAGAAGCACAGAGGCCAAGAGGGCATAGCGCTCAGTGGATTGCTATTAATGTCATTAACCGAGTATGGAAATGATGAGGAAGCAGCTGCAGAAATGAGACAGCGTTGCTCGCTTCCTGCAGGAAATAAAAACGAGTAGATGTCAGCCATTTTGTACGCCAGCACACTAAAGCTCTTAGGTGCTACCTCAGGCAATAATAATAATCCTTTGTTGTGGATAATTGGCGTAAGGCTGAAATCACGTTGCTATCATTTCTGGGGGGAAAAAACAAACCACAAACCAACCACAAACGAAACAAAAGAACTAGTGGCTACCTCTGTATGTGGATGATCTGCATGGTGATGAAAATCAAATAGAAAACATGAATAGAGCAATTTATGTAACAGGGCAGTCATCAAGGGATGAGGTCACTTTTATCCCATTCTTGGAGCATTTTTTCCCGACTGATCCCGCATGAGTTGTCCTCTAGTGCTTGCAAGGTACCAGGCAGATTCCATGATCTGGAAGGACAGGATGGAAGGAGAAACAGAGCTGGTTGCTGTTCCTCTGCTGCTACCACTGTTGATACATATGTCCTTCTGTGTTTAGTACAGGTGACTACAACCTTCTTTTTCCATTAGAGGGGCAACAGGCTTTTTCACGGAAAGCTGCCCCCCGGCTTCATTACTCTGGATATCCAGGGCGTAGGTTTGAATTGCTCGTCTGTCAGCTTTCTTTCACAGCACTTTTAGAACTTCTATGGGTGACATCATCCAAAAGTTCCTGCTAAGAGATGTTGTTGTCCACCTTTCAGTGACACAAGAGTCACTTCCCAAGAGATGACTCACCTAAACTGGGTCTGAGCATCAGTCACGTTAACAAATCCTCAGCTACATACCTCTTATGTTAATTTTTACAGTTCAGAAAGAGAAGTGTTAATAACCAACAGACAAAATGCCAAACTGATTTTTATTTGCTAGCTTGTTTTGTTTTACGCTAACTCTTGGCATCTAGTTAAAATACTTTTAGTGTGCTTTTAAGGATACTTTGCCTATTAAAGAAAAAAATAATGCCTTTCATTTTGATGTAGAAGCTCCAAGACTCCAAGCTAATTAGGTTTAAATGACACTTACGCAGTTATGCCAGTGCAATTTTATACTTAAGTTTCTGCTTTGACTTTTTCCATTCATCAGGGCCCTAGAATCTACATGTGGTGTAAGCTTCATATGATTTGACAAGGTGCTGAGTTCTGATGGATGATTAGAAATGGCTGAAATTATACACTGAGTTGAATGGCCTGTTTGCTGGCCTGCGTTCTTAAAGCCTGTGACTGTGCTGAACATTTGTTAAGCGACTGATATTCTGGCAGCTTTACAGAATGGTAATTCAGTGGTCATATAAACATGAACACGCTGTAAAGTATTTTACACGTCTGTGGTTCATACCAATGTGTTGCCCAGATTGCCTGCATATATTATCAGGGCAGTACGGGAACCTCTTCCATCAGATGTTGCACAGCCTGGTGTGGTAGGAAGGAAGTGTTTTAACCTCTTGAAGAAATGCGTCTTGGTCTCTGAACACAGAGCGGACAGAAAGTTGCTTTATAAGCCATCTGAAGTAACAGAAGCCTTCAAATTCGACTTTTGTAGAGGAAAAACAGAAGTCAACACAGCTGATTACTTTATAAAGGCTAGAATGGTTGTATA